TCAAAGCAAAGAGGAAAGCTAAGAAGACGGGGGAAGATGTAGAAGGAGAGGACCAGGGAGAGGAGGACCAGCAGCCTACGGAGAACTTGGACATGGATGCCCAAGATATCGACGTAGAAGAAGCGGAGAAGAGGACGGACGACACCGATTTCAGTGTCGCCACCAGACGGAGGAAGCGGGTGCGAGTTTCCTCCTCCGAAGAAGAGGAAGAACCCAGGCAGCGAAAGATGCCAGCTGCCACCAAGAAGAGTGGTCCTAAAGCAACCAGGACCACCGAGGCCCCCATGGCAGGAACAGGAGTTCCGCCAATCAACATCGAGGGCACCGCTGATTGGTCATCCTTGAGTAGGATGATGAACAGCAAGGGGATTCAATTCTCCAAAGCGAGGACGGCGGGTACCAGTGTGAAGGTATTCACAAATACACCAGCTGACTACCGTCAGCTAGTCGCACTGCTTGAATCCATCAAGCGGCCCTTCTTCACATATCAACTGAAGGAGGACAGGATGGACCAGAGGGTCATTCGTGGGCTTCCGAGAGAGATGTCAGTCAATGACATCAAAGAGGATCTGGTGAGCCAAGGCATCGCAGACGCCGTGGTTCAGCAGCTGACCTCAAGGACCACAAAGAAGCCACTTCCGCTCTTCCTCGTCAAGACGAAGATGCCGGAAAAGCTTGCAGAGATCCAGAGGCTGGCCATGCTCACGGTCAGCTTCGAGAGGAAGAAAAAGTCTTCCGAGCCCAGCCAGTGCTACCGCTGCCAGCGGTACGGGCACACACAGCGGAACTGCCGTCTCGCTGAACGGTGCGTTAAGTGTGGAGAGGACCACAACAGCACCAGCTGCAGTCTGCCAGCGCCGCCAACAGGGCAACGAAACGCCAAGTGTTGCCTCTGTGGAGAAGGCCACCCCGCCAACTACAAGGGATGTAGTAAGGCGCCGAAGAAAGCTGCTTCTGCCCCCAAAGCAGTCCCCACCACAAATAGGACTTCTTACGCCCAAAAAGTGAAGAAGCCTATGTCCACTTCTGCCCCAGCAGCCGCCACTGCTACTGGAACTACTGCGCAGAAGCAACACGGCGATGACAGACTGCTAGCAATGATGCAAGCCATCATAACCCGCCTGGATGCACTCGAGGCCAAGATGCAAGACAAGCACTAGACCCGAAATGTCTACAGGTCAAAACGTAGAATCTCTACGCATTATCTCCTGGAACATCAACGGTTTCAGGGCACGGAAACCAGAAATCCAGGAGATACTAGACCAGTACCAACCAGAGGTGATGGCCATTCAAGAAACGAAGTTGGATGCTGCCCATAGTCTGACGTTCCCGCGGTACGAGACGTACCGCTACGACAGAAGGGGCAGAGGTGGAGGAGTCGCATTACTCGTCAAACGTACCTTGACGAGTCATGTCCTCGACGATGCCGCAGACATAAATGGGGACGGAATCACGGTCCAGGTCCATCACAACCACCGTCCCTACAGAATCACCTCCCTATATGTGCCACCAGGGGAGGCCCTAGACGAAGATGACATCGCTGACCTCCTGAGAGGCCCAGGAGCACGCATAGTCATCGGAGATCTAAACTGCAAGTCTCCGGCTTGGAACAACAACGTCGAAGACAGGAATGCAAGGCAGCTCCAGGAACACGTCGATGCCCTGGCGGGGGTCATCGTCGGTCCGGAGCAACCAACCTACATTCCATTCGGCCTTGGGCGACCTGCGGTACTGGACATAGCCATCCTCCGCAACATCAGAGAGGAGTTCGAGATAGAGACCCTGGTGGAAGGATCGTCGGACCACAATCCGATTCTACTAACACTTGGTACAGGGTCTAGAACTCGAGATAGCTTGAGCACCAAACGGACGAACTGGAACCTTTACAAATCCAACGTCCAGAGGAACATCACTCAAATTCCAACCATCCGATCAGCGGAGGAACTGGACAACGCAGTAGAGGAGCTGGAGAATGCTGTCCTGCGAGCGCACGAGGACAGCACCCGCTCCGAGACTACGGCAGTTCCTAGATACCTAAATGGTCCAGCACCGCACCATATTAGGCACCTGATCAGGGAGAACAGAAGACTCAAGCGAGAACATCTCCAGCTGTTGACAGAGGAGTCGAGAGTTGCGCGAAACAGAGCATCGTTAGCTCTGAAGAACGCACTCGCGGAACTCCAAAACAACAGATGGAATGCAGCCTGTGCAGAACTAGAGACCCAGGATGGTACGGCCTGGTCTATGCAGCGAAAATTTCGTCGTCAGCGCACCACGATCCCCACTCTTCACGGCCAACGCGGCTTGGCCTACTCCAGTGAAGAAAAAGCCGAAGCATTCGCCGATTCGCTAGAATCCGAATGCAGACTCAATTACCATGAAGACGAGGACGACAACCACGAGGAGGCCGTGGAAGTCGCAGCCGAAAACATGAGGAGTCGACCACCTGGCCAGGAGACGGATCACCCCTCCAGTCCAGAGGAAATCCGTCTGATCATCCGCAGGTTGAAGGTCAGAAAGGCGCCGGGAAGGGACGGCATCAACAATAGGATGCTGAAGAACCTTCCCACCAAAGGCATTGCTGCGCTCACCAACATCGCCAATGCCACTCTGAGACTTAACCACTTCCCGCGGCGGTGGCGGGAAGCCCAGGTTATAATGCTCACCAAGCCAGGCAAGGACCGGAAGTTGCCCCAGAACTACCGGCCCATCAGCCTGGTTTCCTCGGTGGGCAAAGTAGTCGAAAAGGCTATCGCCGTTCGACTAGAGAAGCAGGCAGAAGAACTGCAACTTCTCCCCCCAGAGCAATTCGGCTTCAGATCCTCCCACAACACGGAACTCCAAGCGCTACGACTGACGGAAAACATCACCAGCGGCTTCAATCTCCAGGAGGCAACCGGTCTCGTCCTGCTGGACGTGGAACGAGCCTTCGACCGAGTTTGGCACGATGGACTCATCGCCAAAATGGAAGCCGCCGGAATCGATGCGAACATGTGCCAACTGATCCAGAGCTATCTAACACAAAGATGGTTCACGGTGAAGATTGGTACATGCCATTCAACAAGACGTCAGCTGGAAGCAGGCGTGCCCCAGGGGTCAGCCTTAGCCCCCCTGCTCTACAACATCTATACTTACGATGTGCCGAAGACAGCTGACACAATGCTGGCCCTATATGCAGACGACACTGCTATAGCCGCCAAGCATAGACGACCCGAGATCATCCGTAGGAGACTACAGGGTGAACTGGACCAAATTCAGGACTGGTGCGTGAAATGGAAAATCCGCATCAACGTCCAGAAGACGCAGGCAATCTTCATTCAACGAAGAAGGATTGCAAGACCTCTCGAAGCATCCATCTTCGATGAAGATATCCAGTGGAGCGACAATGTCAAATATCTGGGGATCGTTTTTGACAAGTCCCTCACCTGGAAAGCGCACATAGAAGCTGTCATCGCAAAAACCAGAGCAGCCATGGCTCAACTCTATCCATTACTGGGTAGACACAGCCAGATGCCGCTAGCGACCAAGCTACGGCTGATCAAGGCCATCGCCAGACCTCAGCTCGCTTACGCCTCCGCGGTCTGGGGGTACGCTGCCCCCAGCTACCGCAAGCGACTTGCTGCTCTAGAGATGAAGCTACTCCGGATCGCCACCAATGCACCTTCCTACGTAAGGAACTCAACCTTGCGTAGAGACCTGCATTGGGATACCATCCACGAGTACATGAGGAAAAAAGCGGAGAAGACCTTCGAGAAAGCTCAGGACCACCCGAACGAGCAGCTACGATTCCTCATGGACTACGATCCGGACGAGAGGCCTCGCAACCGCAGAACCAGGTACCCCAGACCAAGGTCCCAGTTGGCACCCGCTAACTGGAACCTTGACTAGGAGACTAGGAGAATTTGCGGCTGCTCCCCCCCCCCCCACGGCGTGGATGCAGAGGACCAGGAACCACCGGGACCAGGACCCACCGGGACCAGGACCCGCCACGACCAGGACCCACCAGGACCAGGACCCTTCAGGACCAGGACCAGGAACAACATATTGGTAAGATGACTTGAAACTCTTGATTTTTCGAAAACAAGAGTTTCAAGAGAAACTAGCAGACCCTCTATCGATGATCGCTTAACGACATCGATAGAATGTGCGAGGTAAAGGGAACCAACCCGGCGTTCCCAGAGACTGAAACACATGAGGAGACGTTGTAGCAGACCGCAGGTCACGCACAACACATGGCCTACCGAGACGCTGATGAGTCGGGCCACGCGGAGGTTTAGGGTTTAGTGGGTATTAGGTGATCTCTTCAAGACCCTGGAGCCCCACACACGTCGTAGCTCGTGCTATGGTATGGTGCGTAAATGCATTCCCCCCTCGTTAAAAAAAAAAAAAAAAAAAAAAAAAAAAAAAAAAAAAAAAAATCATGTTGTGCATTTGCAAGTTCATAGTCGACGTCGTTCGTTTAGCAGATTAACAAATTGAATATGTCAGGACGCGGAAAAGGCGGTAAAGTTAAGGGAAAGGCAAAGTCCCGATCCAGCAGGGCCGGCCTACAATTTCCCGTCGGTCGTATCCACAGGTTATTGCGAAAAGGGAATTATGCTGAACGCGTCGGTGCCGGAGCTCCGTATATCTAGCGGCCGTTATGGAATACTTGGCCGCTGAAGTTTTGGAATTGGCAGGCAACGCTGCTCGCGACAATAAAAAGACCCGTATTATTCCACGTCATCTGCAATTGGCCATCAGAAACGACGAAGAATTGACAAAATTGCTTTCAGGCGTCACAATTGCCCAAGGAGGAGTTCTCCCTAATATCCAAGCTGTTCTTTTGCCGAAAAGACGGAGAAGAAAGCCTAAAAAAAAAATCTTCTGAACATACAATCGGCCCTTCTCAGGGCCAACAAGTAATTTAATAAGAAAATGAAGGGATTATCATTTGTATATGGAAAAATTTTCTCAGGGTGATATCGGATCGGTTGTGGCGCGAGAAGTTGGCAATAACTAAATTATTTAATCGAGGCCTCTCATCGTCGCATTCACGTCTAATATTCGCCGGTATCTCGATAATGGGACATATCGGGACCGAAATCGTCGATTATTGTAATTCAAAGAGCCAAAACGTATAAGTCGATCAATTTCTCATATTCCGATAAACTCATTTATGTGAGTGTTTCTTTTTATTTTGTATAAAAAAAATAGAAAATTAATGTGGCGGTTCAATCGGCAGATCCATTCTTTCTCACGAGAGTATATGGTGGTTCTGAAAAGAACCGTTTTTTTTTTCTTTGTATTGTATTTTCGTTCAACCTGTACCGTGGTAATTGCTGCGGAGTGTTTAACCACCGAATCCGTACAAAGTGCGTCCTTGTCTCTTTAATGCATATACGACGTCCATTGCAGTGACTGTCTTCCTTTTAGCGTGCTCGGTGTAAGTGACTGCATCCCTGATTACGTTCTCT